CACGTCTCTCTGCTAATTCTCTGTCCTTTTGACCTATCTAATGGCGACAATGGGGTATTAAAGTCTCCTCCTATTAATGATTTGGGATTAGTCTGGTTCTTAAAGTCCTGTAGTACTGTTTTTATGAAGTTGGGTGCACAAGAGTTTCGTGAATATATGTTCATGACTGTAATATCTTCTTGGTTTATTCCCTTCATGAGAATGAAGTGGCCATCTTTGTCTCTTCTGATTAGTTTTAAAGTCTACTTTATCAAATATTAGAATTGCAATGCCTGCTTTTTTCTTAGTGCCATTTGCTTGGTATATTTTTTCCATCCTTTTACCTTAAGGTAGTGCCTGTCCTTGAAAGTGAGATGAGTTTCTTGCAGACAACAAAAAGATGGGTTTTGTTTCTTAATCCATTGACATTTAAAGTTATTAATGAAAGATGTGTATTGAATCCTGTCATTTTTATTTCTGTTCACATTCTTGATATATCTGTGCATTTCCACAGTTATGCCTTCATTGAATTCCTTTCCATCACTCCTTGTGGACAGTCGTTCCTTTCTTCAGCTCTTTGTATTGCTTCAAGAACTCTCTGAAGGGCTGGTTTTGTGGACATGAATTCTTTTAGCCAATTTATGTTGTGGAAGATTCTTCTTTCCCCTTCAACTATGATAGACATTTTGTCTGAGTAAAGTAATACGAGTTGGCCTCTGGGGCCATTTAGAACTGGGAATACTTTGGTCCAGGCTCTTCTGGCTTTCATAGTTTGCACTGAAAAGTCAGCTGTAATTCTGATGGATTTTCCTTATATGTGACTTGTTTTTCTTTTGCAGGTTTCAGTATTCTCTCTTTGCTCTGTCCGTTTAGTGTTTTTACTATCATGTGCCATGGAGAGTTTCTTTTCTTTTTTTAAAAAATATTTTATTTATTTATTTTTTATGGGTATGAGTGTATTGCCTACATGTATGTGAGTACACCCATGTCATGCAATGCCGCAGAGGTCAGAAGAGGGCTTCCTATTCCCCTGGAACTGGAGTTAAGGACAGCTCGTAGCCACCATGAGGGTGCTGGGAAACGAACCCAGGTCCTCTGCAAGAGCAGTCAGTGCTCTTAACCACTGAACCACCTCTCCAGCCTGAAAGTTTCTTTTCTGGTCCTGTCTGCTTGATGTTCTATATGCTTCTTTTATTTGTATGAGCATATTGTTCTTTAACTTTGGAAATTTTCTTCTACAATTCTGTTGAGGATCTGGTCCATGCCAGAATCTTGGGATTCATCTCCTTCCTGTATGCCTATGATTTGTAAGTTTGGCCTTTTTATGGGGTCACACAACTCCTGTAAATTTCATTCTTGTGCTTTCTTAAATTTTTGATAATCTTTGCTTGAGTGGTCTAGTTTGTCCACTTTATCTTCCAATCTTGATATTCTGTTTTCCATTTCATTCATCCTATTGGTGAGACTTTCTCCTGTCGTTTCTAAGTGGCTTACTGAGTGTTTCACTTCCTTCTTCAATTCAGCCCGAGTATTCTTCAATATTTCTAACCCTTTTCTGAATTTATTCAGAAGTTTATCCCTAGCTTCCTTCAGTTCTTTGATTTCTTTGTTTGTGTGTTCTTTAAATTCACTGAAATCTTTTATCATGTTTATAATTGTTCTTTTGATTATTTAGGTTTTTCATGTTATGTTTTTGACATGTGGATTTCTTTTGTAGTTTCAAGCCTTCCTTTGTTGAGTTTAGGTCTGCTTCTTTTTGTAAACTTTATATGCCTTTGTAGTTTACTTGTTGGGCATGAAAAGCTTGTTGGTCTAGGCTTCAGGTTCTCTCTTTTGATTTTATATTGGAGGGGCCACATTGCTTTCATCTGATGCTCAGGAGTTCCCAGAGAGGCCCAAGTCAAGTGAGGATCAGATGCTCTCAGACTTTCTCCTAAGGTCTGGATCCCTCCAGGAAAGATGCTGGCTTCAGGAATTTGAGGGCTGGCCTGGCCTGGGAATAAGGCCCAGGAAAGATGCTGGTCCCAGGAAGCTGGTGGTTGTGCCACCCAGGAATGCAAAGGGAGGTGTGGATGGTCTCCTGGGGACTAAAGGGAGGAATTGGGTTGGTCTGGTTGCAAAGGATCAGGATGCAGTGGTGAGTCTGGGCCAAGAGGTCAATCCAGAGGTCTGGGGTGCCAAGACAAGAAATGTGTCAGTGCCCAGGCTAGTAGGAGAGATGGGGTGGGGGAGCTGGGAGGGTGAATGAGGCTGGGGGTGTCAAGGCACAGTGGGTGCTGCCAAACTTTTGGGAAAGATGCTCCCAAGAATATGATTTCTCTTTCTATTCATGCAAGTCTACTTTTATACCCTTACAGGCATTTTAGTGTTTTCTTTTTATAGATGTCTTCACATTTCTTCAGTTTGCTCTTCAGTCTTTTACGTTTTTATTACTATTCTTAAGTAATGCTTATGTTTTCTAATTATTTCCAAGAAAAACTATTAATTTTATATCCTGGATATCGCATTAAATAACCTCAGGTAAATGATCCTCTTTAGAACTTAGTTTTCATAATTCATAGAGGGTTTCTTTGTTTATTTGTTTGAGACAGGGTCTCACGTGGTAGCCCTAGCTGGCCTAGAACTCACTATGTAGATCAGGCTGACCTCAAAACTCAGAGAGATTCACCTGCTTCTGCCTCCTGAGTGTTGCGATTAAAGATGTGCACCACCATACCTGACAACTCAGTTTTGAAGAAAGACAACTCAGATAGTGTCTGGTGTAAGAAAAAAGTTCAGCAAAATTTACCTCTTACAAATATTATTATACTAATTTACCAATCTGCCACCTTACTTGTTAAGGTTCAGATAGCCCTGCCCCCTCACCAACAGTCTCAAGGACTTTTCATGCTTCTGAGAAAAGGGAACCAAGCTGATAAGCACCTTTGTCTTTGAAGTCAAGAGCAGCAGACTTTTCTCCACTGTTTGGCCAACACAGCACGCTTCCCCTTTGATCTCTAAAGAGGACAGGTTTTAACAGTCCAGCTCTCCCACTTCTACCCCCCTCCCAGCACAACTTTAAAAAAAATACATCTTCCTGCCTTCTGCAAGAAGCAGAAACCTCCCTTTTTAAAAGACCCCAGCTCAAGACCAAGGAAGGCATTTTCCCTGCCTGGAAGGGAATCTGTCCCATGTGTTCCTTTGCTAATAAACCCTGCTTTCTCCTGATCAATCCTATTTGTCATATGGCTACTTTTTTTATCTATCATTACTGATTGATTTATAATGTTTCTTCTAGTTTTATCCTTCTCTGCTCTTTGAGAAATCTATCCATAAATTTGTTACTACCTTTAATAGTGCATATTTCTTTTAGCACTGCAACAGACAAAAATGTTTCTGAAAGAAATTAAGCAGTTACTGATGGGGATCCCATTTCTGACAGACAGAGCACATATATTATAATGTAAATAGTGGCTATATTTACAATCTGTAGTATATCTATACTACATTGTATAGTATACATCTATCAATTTGTGACATCTAAATCACTTTTTTACATTTTTTTTTTTTTTGGTCTTTTTGAGACAGGGTCTCCCTGTAGCCCCAGCTGTCCTGGAACTATGTAGACCAGGCTGGCCTTGAACTCACAGAGATCCACCTGCCTGTGCCTCCTGAGTGCTGGGATTAAAGGCGTGTGCCACCACGCCCAGCACTTTTTTACTTTTTTAAGTAATAAAACAATGGTGAAATAGTCATCTTTGTACATAAATGTCAGGCACATTTTTCATTGCGTCACTAAGCAGACTGAGGAAAACTTCCTTTGTTGCAAATAAACACTGTTTTTCTACAAGGATGCAGCAATTTGCAGTCCAATCAACATGGCATATGTGTCCTTTTCTCATTGCACTCCGTCACTATTTTTGAAAGAAGCAAAATAATAATTTGTTTCTATACTTCATTATAGTTTAGTTGCACATATGCTCTTATGCTGGAGTTTAAAATCTTTACTCTCACATAAAATCTATAACCTCATCTAAAATTTCACTAGAACTAGAGAGTTCTAATTCTTCATAAGGATTGGTCCTGGGAACATCAGCATAGACTTCTTTGATAGAACTTGATCTGGTAGAAAAGGTTGCTAAACCTCTATACTATTGACATTCTAGATGAGATAATTCTTTGCTGTGGGGGATGCCATGTACACTAAATGATATTTAGCAGAATCCCTGTCCTTTATTCATTTAATGCTAGTAGCACCTTCTCCATGCGTTGTGCTAATGAGGACTGTGGCCAGATTTGACTAAATGTTCCCTATCAAAAGTACTTTCCAATTGGTTATCACTGTCTTAAGACTACCACAGTTGAAAAAGCTGAGTGGCACACATCTTTATTCCTGGCCCTTGGGAGGCAGAGGCAGGCGGATCTTTGTGAGATGGAGGCTATCCTGGTCTACATATAGAGGTCCACATCAGCTGGGGCTATAGGGAGACCCTATCTGAAAAATTAAAATGAAACAAAACAAAACAAAATGGAGTACCATAGTTGGATACCTCCCAGCTCAATATCACTGTCTTAAGAGCACCACATCTGGATAACTCCAAATTGAATAGTTAATGATACCACTGTCCTATGGAACAGAAACAAAGTTTCTGATACTCTGGGCATTCTTATTGTTTCTCTGAACCTCCATCCCTACTTCTACCACACAGCTGTTTGCCCTTTTCCAATGCTGAACATGCTGACCTTTTCAGACCTAGCTAAAAAATGCCTGACTTTTTCCTCTTCCTCATCCTCATCTCTCTCCTCCTGGTATCTGCAGAGATTTAGAGCTTGACTGTCCTGTTTTTGTTTTTTTTTTCTCCCAAACACTAATAAGATTGTCCTCAAACTTTCTTCTGGGTCTATTCCTCAATACTTTCAGTAAGAAAACTAAAAACTGAAAAGGGAACCCTGATTTTTCTAGTTAAAGTACGGCAGTGCAGACATATTTCATTTAAAGGTAGAGCACAAAGAGAAACATAACTTAAAAATGAAATACTCACTTTGCCTTGTAAGGTGAGTCTGAGCCAGAACTTTTTGTTTCCATTAAACACTCATATTCCTTAGCCCTAAAGAAAAAAAAAGTTTTATCATGGTTAGTTATTTGTAGCCAATTTTATAGCAATTCAAGCTTCAGCTCAATCTTCCTTCTTCTGGTATATCATGCTGGTAATGCAACTAATTTTGTTTCATATTTAAGTATCTTCTTTAAAAATTACTACAAATACTACCATGAAAAACTAAAAGACAAATATTTCCTCATAAGAAATAGAACAGATTCATTTCTGAGCTTATAGACTTGATAGACCTGATTGATAAACAAAAGAATGGTGGTGATTAAATCCACAAGTCTATAAACTTCCTACAAAGTAGTTGAGGTGTCTGACTTTTTATGTACTACAAGTACATAATCTAAAATAAATACAGGCAAACAACTTTCAGTTAACTTCAGAGATAAAAGACTATGAAAACAACTTGATCAGACCTTCAAAGCCTTTGTTTTGTTTTTTGCTGCCCACATACCAAAGATCCATTAAAATCCATAATACTACTTCTTTCCACTGCCTACCTAGGCTCTGGCTTACCCAGAGCTGTAGGTGACAGTCATCAACAGGTCATGAACTGAAGACAGATCGTACTATAGCAATTCATTAATATTGAGTTAATATGCCTACTTCTACTTTTTTGGAGAATAAAAGAGGAAAATGCTAATTTAAATGCTAAGTAAAGGCTAGGGAAATGGGTTGATTGGTAAAGGACTTCTCATGTAAGGATGATGACCTGAGTTCTATCCCCCAGACCACATGTAAAGCCAGGTATGTATGCATGCACAATCCCAGCACTCCTACAGGGAGATGGAAGGTCGAGAAAGGAGAATTCTAAGAAATTACAGAACAGATATCTTAGTGTACAGACTGGTAAACAAGAAGAGACCTTGTCTTATACAAGGTGGAAGGCAAGAACCAACACCCCAGTTTGCCCTCTGACCTCCATGTTTACTTCCGCAAGCACGTGTGCGCACACACGCACACACACAAAAAAACCCATATACAAACATATAAAGATAAAATATTAGTCCTTATCTATTATAGCAATTTTTTGTTGAGTCTATGCTCCATGATACTGATATAGCTACTTCACCAATATTACTTTCCTTGTGGCACACTTCATAGAACATATTTCTGCCCTTCTATGTTAAAATATAGTTATGTATTTATATTTGAAGTGACTCTCTGGTAGATATCAAATATATTTATAATTTTTTCAAAATCCTTTCTGAAAACATGTGCCTTTCACTGAAGAGCTTAATGTAATTGTACTTTGTATAATTATTTTAAGGAAAGATTTACTTCTGCTATTTTGCTGTCATTTCCTATGTGTTAATCACTTTTGTCCCTCAGTACCTGCATTATTGTCTTTATGATTGTTAAATTAATATTTTTCTCCTCTTTTTTGCATGTATATACTGTGTGCTGTGCATGCATATGCATATGTGTTTACATGTATGGGTGTACAAGTGTGTGCAGGTATGTGCATATTCACGTAGATGCCAGAGGTTGGTATTAGATGTCTTTTTCAATCAATCTCCATCTTCTATATTGAGTCATGGTCTCTCACTCAAACCTCAGAGCTCACCAATTCAGCCAGTCCAAGTAACTCGCTTGCTCTGAGGAACTCCTGTTCTCACTTCCCACACACTGGGATTACAGGTGGGAAAGTAACCAAGACAAACTATATTGTTGAGAAAAATAACAACAGTGTAGGCAATTTCAGTGCAGAGCAATGGCTATACTAATGGCCAATCTGGGCTGAGAAACACCTAGGAGGGTCTGTTAAATCACACCTTTGTGTTGTCTATGATGGTGTCTCCAGAGAGGATTTTTCTGAGGGAAAATGATCTTTCCTTAATATGCACCATTTCATCTCACATGCTGGGTACCAGGATGGAATAAGAGAAGAAAGTCAATAGCACAGGCATTCCCTTTGTTCCCTGGATACCATAAGTAAGTTTCTGCCAAACCCTCCCTGCTGTTATAGAGAAATCTCTGAAACTGTTAGCCAGAACAAGTAATTATTCCCCTTACATTGTTTTCATCAGGAATGTTGTCACAGTAATGTACAATGGACCAACCCACACAGACATATCCTTTCTGAATATTTTCTGTCCACATTTGGTAGAATCCATGGTTAAGCGTGGATATAGTGACAGTGAACCACCTACACAAATCACAGTGTGTGCATCATCATAGGTTCTGAATTATTGTTTTACATAACTGTCTTTAAAACCAAATATTAAAAAGAGAAGGTAAAAAACAAAAATACAATAATGCTGAATTTTATAATCTATGTAGTTACCTTTATAATGTTGTTTTTGTTTGTTTTGCTTTTCTTTTTACATAAATTCAAGCTACTGCCTAGTTCACTTTCATTGCAGTCTGAAGGACTCCCTGGAGACTATCTTAAAAGGTAAGTCTGCTAAAAACAAACTCAGTTCTTATTTGGAAGAAAATATTTCTCTTCCATTTATGGAGGTCAGTTTTGCCAGAGACAGAATTCTTGATTTACAGATTTCTCTTTTAATTAAAATTTTTTAAAATTTATTTTTATTTTACGTGTAGGACTAGTATGCCTGCATGTATGTAACTGTACCCACGTCATACAATGCCCATGGAGGTCAGAAGAGGGTGTTAGAGCCCCTAGAATTGGAGTTATAGAGGGCTGCTAGCCACCATATGTGTGTTGGAATTCGAATCCAGGTCTTCTGTAAAAGCAGCTAGTCAGTGCCCTTAACTGTGAGTCATCTCGCTAGCTCCAGACTCACAGATTTTTAAAAAAATCTTTCAGAAAATTTCATCTCATTTTCAAAAGGCATCCATATTTTCTGATGAGAAATCACCTATTTATCATAACAAGCACTCTGGATGAAATGGTTTTGATTTTTGTTTTTGGTCTTTTTGAGACAGGATCTCCCTGTAGATCCAGCTAGCCTGGAACTCACTATGTAGACCAGGCTAGCCTTGAACTCAGAGTTCCTGCCTCTACCTCCAGCACACCATGCCCAGTTGAAATGGGTGAAATGTGTTCTTTTTGTCTTAAGGACTCTCTGTCATTCAACAGTTCGTGTTATGATGTGGATCTTTTGTTTTCTCTCACTTGAGTTTCCTAAGCTTACTAGAGGTACAGATTTGTTTCATTTCATTTGAAAAAAAATTAGTATTATCTCTTCATACACCCTTTCTTGCTCTGCCTTTATTCACTACTCTCTTCTGGGACTCCCTTTATGCACATATTTGTACTTGACTGAAGTCTCACAGAGCTTTCAGGCTGTGCTCATTTTTCCTCACTATCTTTTTATGAAAAGTTTCTCAGAATGGATAATCTCCATCTCTAGACATTCTCTTAAAGATTTTAGTTATCATTTTCCTAATTCTTTTTCCTTTCCACAGGAAACATTGATTAATTTGACTTTAAAAGTTTTCAAAAACTTCCCCAGGACTTCAGTCCTGGAAGAATTCTGAGCTAGGGAAACCATTAGGAAAAATTCTTCAGAGAGTAATCAAAGAGCAAACACCTACAATTCTTTGAGATTAAAGTGTGTCTGTTCATTCTAGTCAAGCTACGTCATGACTAATGGGCTGCACATCTTTCCATGAAATTTTCCCATTTGGAGAAATGCTTATTCAGCTTGTCTGCTGATTTATTATTGGGTTATCTTTTTATTATTGCGCTCTAAGTATTCTTTATATACTCTACATATAAGTGTGCACATATCTACATGCACACACAGAGTTATGTAGAAAATATATAGACAAATTCTAGATTGAGAGAAAGTTCTCAATCTATGTATCTGCTATAGAATTTATAGCCAGAATATATAAACTGAAAAATTAAAATGGTGACACACTTTTAAAAATGGAGGAAGGCATTCAATATGTACTTCATAAAGGAAACTACTGGGTGAATTAAAAAGCATACAAAAAGATGCTCAACAGAGATGATTAATTATACCAAATTGAAACTGGAACATCAATGAGACACATTTCAGCTAGAATTAGGCTACATACTTAAAACTAACAAATCCAAATACCGAGAAATTGTGGACTAATTGGAACTTCCGAAGACTGGAGATGGAAGAAGAAAATGGTGCAACCACCATACAAGAGTTTGGCACTTATACTTCCAATTATTCACCCAAGAGAAATGAAAACAGAGGTTCAGCCAAAGACTGAATTTGGCAGGACTGTTATTTATAAATGCCCTAAACTAAAAACCCAAATGACTATTAAAGATGAATGGACAAAAAATTTCCGTGTTATGGACATCATTGGTATAATGGGAACAAATTATACAGACCTCAAACCCAGCTGTATCTCAGAAAAAGTACACTTTGCAAAAGACAGCTGCAAGAGAATATGATTTTGTATGTATGAATTTCTAGAATAATAAAAAAGGCAATCCATAATTATAGAAAGCATATAAGTGACTGTCAAGGGCCAGAGGTAGTGAGAAACACTGCAAAGACACAGAAAGGGTCAGACATGGTAGGGCATTATCTATAAAACTAACACTCAAGAGTCAGAGGCAGGAAAACTGGTGCAAGATAAAGGCAAGCCAGGGCCACATAAAGAGATCTTGTCAATAATAATAATAGTAATAATAATAATAATAACAATAGCAACAACAATAATAAAAGGTAGGAAAGATTTATGGACAACTCAGTATTAGAGTATTTGTGCTTGTTATGCACAAGGCTCTGGGGAAGGGAAGAAGAAGGGAAAGGGAAAAGGAAAAAGAAAGAGGAAAGGAAAGGAGTGAGGGAAGGGAAGGGAGGAGGGGGGAGGGGAGGGAAGGGGAAGAAAGGGGGCAGAAATACAAAGAAACTGCAGGACAATAAAAATGGTCTAAATGATGTACTACATATATATGTAGTATAATAATGTAGTATATATATGACATGGGTATCTAGGTTTGTCAAAACTCAATAAATTAAAATCTCCATTAAATTATATTTTAATTTAAAAAGTCAATACAGGTATTCATGCATAAAACAGATATATATGCCAAAACATTAGAAACAGCAAAACATAGGTATTTTAATAATTATTTGCATTTTCAGGATTTCCTTTAGTAAATATTACTTATATAAAAGCTAATCAAGTTCTCAAGGAAAGCCTTGTTTACAAGGAGAGATATGAACAAAGTCCTGAAGAAGGTGAGGACAGTGTTGGATATATGAGAGAAGAGTCTTTAGGAAGAAGACATCTGACTGTCAGAACCTGCGGTTCTGCAAAATAAAATGCATTGATTTATATTTCAGCAGGCTCACCCTGGATGTAGTGTTTGGACTAGATGGCACAAACAAGAGACCAACCGAAAGACCACCACAAAATTCCAGTGAGTGATGATGGAAGCACGTGGGGGTGGGGCGAGCAGTGAAGTTACAGAGAAGAGAGACTCTGCAAATATGTTGAAGCAACTACCATTATTTGCAGTAAGAATGAATGTGAGGTATGTGGAAAGAGGGATAGTCCAGGACAACTCAAAAGGTTTGAGCGTAGCCAGCGACAGCAGAGTGCTTGTTCATTGATACTGGAAAGATGATGGGATGAAGTCTGGGTTTATGGGAAAGGAGAGAGGAGTTTGTTTTGGACACAATAAATTACAGTTAAACTGAAGGTGTAAAATAGTAATTAGCTATTACAGGGCATAAAAAGCAGAGAATTGGGTGAGCTCACCAAGGGATGTATATAAAAAAAGAAAAAAACAAAACAAAGCAGCAGCTCCTGAGTATCCAAATGTCAAGAGTCAGCAAATTGCAAGCAGAAACTAGAAATGAAGTCAGTAGTACCCTGAAGTCAGCTATGAAACTATTCTCAGAAACATGGAGTGACTTCAAATACTCAGTTCAAGAAAGCCTTTTCTATTCTTTGCAAAAATGAGCTCTCTGAAGTTATGTGATTTGGAAAGATGAAACAGACTACCTGACAGCTCACAATCTGGACATGAAAACTACAGACAATTACTTCACTCATCATTATTCTTGTCCCATATTTTTGCAATTCAACTGAAAAGTTTCTCCATCTTTGAGACATTTAGGAATAAAAATACAAGAATAGGTTAGGAATACTTTCTCTCTCAAATTGTAAAGGTATCAACTAAGGAAGAACTCTATTTGTGTCCTCAGTGACCCATCAGTCACCATATGACATTTAAAGCTTGTGAGGTAATGTAATACACAGCTACCTGATCTTCAGATGTCACTTCAGAGGCTGATGATAAACTACAGGTCTAATAACTCACTTTCCATTGTAAGATATTTCTTGAACTTTTTCTGTAGTGACAGGCAACCAAATTAATTAAACCCAGTCATGGGGTTTGACACCACAGCCAGCAGACTCCTATTTGTTGATTGCTATTGATTTTCCTTGATACTTCATTTAAAAATCAATATCTGGAAAGAAAAATAGGCTTGGTTTACAAATATTTAAATCTACCATTGTATGCTGGAGGAGGCACAAGTTTGGCACGGCCTTGGCATCTAATTATAGGAAGAGCTCTTAACAGGTGAAAGCAAGGGCTTTGGATCAATACCCAGTTTTCTTTCTCAATCAAAGAAAGTGGCTATAAATTAGGCTCATCAGTGTACTTCCACGGCTTTCTTGAAGCAAATAACTTTAAACAGTTTTTTTCCTCCATTAAATTAAATGATCATTAAATTAAATGATCCATCTCTAGGAGTTTTTGTTTTGTTTATAAGGACTTTTCTGTTACCTGGAGTTCATTCGGGCTTTTATCTTTTTAGCTTTTTTCTTATTTTTCTGCCTTTCTTCTCCATCTTTCACAGGCTCTGGTTGAGCTGCACTTTCAATCACAATATCAACAACATACTTCTTCAAGGACAGATGTTCCTGCAAGATAAGCAATGAAATAATGATGGCAATGATGTTTTAAAATCAGATCACTACAGAATAGTAAGAATAACAGATTATTACAGAAGCTAAAAGTAATCCCTGTGCAAAATGGTTCCACAGTTTTCTGAAAAATATTGAAGAAACTGCTTTAGTTGAGGTTTTAACTGATTCATCAAACCTTTGGTGAATATCAACTGTGTTGAATGCTAAGGACACTATCATGATGCATGAACCTAATTCCCAATCATAATATACAAGTATAAAAGGAAAGGTACAATATATACACAAAACTATAATACCACACATGTAACTAATTAGACATTTGATGTGCTGTAGGAGACAAAAGGGAAAAACAAGATAGTTGTTCACTGGGGGTGATAAAGGAAGACTTCAACAAAGAAGCGCAGCATGTGCTTGGGCTTTGAGGATACATAGAATCTGAACACACAAATATTGGATTTGTGTGTGTCTATCTGGGTTAAAAGAAGGAAAAAGGGAAGGAGAGAAAGGAAGGTCATCTCAGAACACACACCAGAAATGAAAAAGTGAAAGCCAGTACTGGAGATAGCTTTAGTTTCATTGGAGCACATAGAATTTGCTCCATTTCCCTTCTCATCCTTCCTAGATCTTATGGCCTATGACCACAACCTCTCCATTTCACATACTCAATTCCTTTGCTGCCCTCTTCTTCATATTTATGTGGCAAAATTTCAACTCTTTATCTAGCCCTCCATCTATTGTATGCCTGTATCTATAGCAGATTAATGTGCCAATAGTTACAAACCACTTTCACTTTTTTTTATAACATTATACCTCAAGTACCAATGCCAGGCACTCAATTCAAACTTACACTAATTTATCAACATACCATCCTAGAAATTATTTTTAGGCCCATGCTTCAAATCTCCAACACTTCTTTTTCCTACTCCATCTTCTGTTTCCTTAGTAAAAGAAGTCCAAGCTTCTTTTACTGAGGAAAGCAGCATTATTTAGAAGAGAACTTCCACATGTCGCTACGGCCAAATTAACCAGCCAATCTGTATTTGTGCTTTGTCCCATCTCCTGCTGTATTATGTAAACATTCATGTTCCTATCAGGGTTAAGGCCTCCAAATGTATACTGATCTCATTCCTTCTCCTCACTTATACTTCTATCTCTCTGATTCTTGGCACCATAATTTTTCTCTTTCCACTTAAGTCACTTAAGTTCTTTCTACCTAAATCATCTCAAAAGAATCCTTGTTTGCATGGCCTCCTACAGCTGCTACCCTATTACAGAATGTGCTGGAAGTGTATCCTCTTTGTCTTTATTTGGTTGTTTGTGTTTTTTTGAGATGGTGTCACTTTGTAGCCTCAGCTGGCCTGGACCTTGCCATGTAGACCAGGCTGTCCTCAAATTCACAGAGATCCACCTGTCTCTGCCTTCCAAGTGCTGGGATTAAAGGTGTTCACCATGTCTGGCTATCTTTACTTCTTTAACAGGGGAGGGTAATACAGAAAGAGAGAGAAGGAGGAGACACAAATAACAGCAAGGCTGACTTTAAAAAAAAAAAAAGGACAATACAGTATTTATAAATATATTTAATAATACATACACAGTTCAAATGAGTTAGGATACACAGGGGATGATGCCAACAACCCCCCTGTCCCCCACTCAAGAACCACAGACTATCTAGCAAAAAACCCCAGTGCCAGGAATAGAAATTCTTCCTTCGAATTGTTGGTCGAAGACACTCCACAAACAATATAGGCTATGGATATTGTGCTGGTTTGCCCCTCAGAAGTTGATGGTAAGAAGCCATTGTTAAAGAAACAAGCACTTTGGACACAGGACTTGGAGAAATTGGACTGGAACTGACCTGGAAGCCTCCTTCCTGAGGACCAGCTCTCATAGTATTGGGAGGTGCTACCAAGGGAGAAAAGCAAACAATAGTCCTACCCAGTAATAAACCTACATACTACATCAGTGACTGTCCTGGAAAGATATCCCTATTGGTGGAGGGATGCTCTTGGAAGTTCTTGTCAAGAAACTCCAGTGGATTCTGATATGAACATTTGAAATTTGCCCTGTTTTGACTTTTTTTTTTGGTTCCCTGTCTAGAATTTGTAATACTAACTACTCTTGCCTTTACTTTTCCTTCACATTTCCTAGGCACCAGTCAAGGATTTTCTTTTCTCCCTACAGTTAAAAGTTTTGCAATTTGGGAGTCTTTTAGATAGACCTACTGAAGGGGTACCCAAATTGCCTCACCCTGCTTCCCTGTTCAGCATGGAAGAGGCCAGAGTAGTCTGTGTCCCGATTCCCTATTGGCAATTTGGGTAACCTCTTCAGGGGATGGCATGATAAGAATAGGAGGTAGGAATTGGCTAGGCAGTTAGGGTAAAAAGACCCCAAAGAAAAGTAGCCAGTTTCTTGGCTAAAAATCAAAATGTCCTTGGTCCTCTTAGCAACATACTCTGTTCCAAAGGCCAAAAATGTCAAAAGTATTTGTGAGCCCTTATCTAATCCTTAAAAGATTTTAGGGTTACCTCTTCAGAGAGGGAAATGTTAGAGTAGCCCATAAAAAAAGGAGTACATGAAGTTGTTCAGGAAAAAATGACGGGGACATATGGGAAGAATTGGAGGAGGGAGTGGGCGTGAATTTAATCAAAACACCTTATATGCATGTATGAAATTCTCAATATTTTTTTTTAAAGTTAAAAAATAAAAATTTAAAAAATAATTAAAAAATCACTTTGGTGACTGGAGTGATGAAGAAAAAAAGATATCCCTATTGGTGCAACAGGGGCACTTTTATCTTAGATGAAATCAACAACTGTCTAGTTGGACTTAAGATCCACTCAGTAGGAGGGAATTCATGCCTGGCACTATAAACCTACCAAATACCCATCCCTGGAGAGATCACAGATGAAAGCTACTCACTGCCATCTTCCTAAACTAATATTATTTCTAACTGTATTCTAAATACTTATCCTTAAATCCATAGCTCTCACCCTGAACAAAAGAAGCTTCTTTTTGCAACAGATGTAGACAATTATAGAAAGCCAAATTAGTCAAAATGCAGAGAGTATGTGACCATGGAGTGGCCAACCCCAATTGATATAACTAAAATGCAACCCCTAAACCTATGGCTAAAGGAACATCATAGAAAAGGGGGCAGAAAGACTGTAAGAGCCAGAGGACCAGGACACCTGCTGCTAGATAGTGTCTTCTAGATATGACAGGGAAGTTTCACCCACAAAATCTCAACAATATGGTTGCCGAAAAAAGACGTGCATAATGACAACACCAGTTGACATGCCAATACGGATGGGGAAATTTCATAAGGTATTACCCCTAGATAAAGAGGTCAGGAAATAGAGAGGGAGCAGGGGGAACATGGGAGGAGTTGGTGGGGGAAGAGAGAGAGGTGGAAATGATGTAAATATAGAACTCAGGTATGAAATTCTCAAAACAAATCTTTCAGGATTCAACCTGTGTACTACACTACATATATATGTATGTATATATATATACACACACATATATATGTGTGTATATATATGTATATATATGTACAATTTAGATATAAGCATATAAAGGGCAGTGTGTAAGTAGATCAAAATGTTAACAGAGGGCATTACTTTTTCTATTTTCATAATTTTCTACAGTGAATCTTAATACACTCATAATGATAACATTAATTAAAGAAATTAAAAGAAAACCAAGCTCTGAAAAGAAAGTCAATTTAGGTAAAGTTATAGTCACTGAAGGACTACTCTGTAGGAGACTAAACACGACTGAATACAAACACACTCATTTTTTGTATCTACTCAGAATTCTAATGATTGTGGCTCAGGCACAAGTAAAGGTATACCACCAGAAAAAGAAACTGTGATTTACTTACTCATCTTCAATGTGCAAATCACTCAGAAGCAAATCTCATCCTAAAAGGTCCCCACATCTCCTTCCTTATGAATACAGTTTTTAAAAGTACAACTTAGTGTTATGAAGTCCTAGCCTCAGAAACGAATCTTAACCATAATCCATAAGGCTAATTCTAAGTAAGAGTCATTATTTTTCATCTGAGGCTATGAAGAGCAAAAACAGCACTGAGTAAAGACTGTACCATCAAGTCTGTGCTTCGTGACTGACTAATTTTTCTAGGCCTCAGTCTCCTAAATAGTAAAGTGAAGAGATCAGACAATAAATTCAGAATACCACTTTCCAAATATTTAAATATGAATATAATAAGTGCAAAAGCTAATTAACGGTAACTATTCTATATACACACAAAGACCAGATTTTTAAGTAACAAGTGAATTCTTTTTAAAAAATATTTATTATTTTTATTTTATGTATGCTTGTATTGACTGCCTGTACATAAGTGTGCCTGTGTTGTGCAATGCCCGCAGAGGACAGACGAGGCTGTCGGATCCCCTGGAACTGGAGTTATGGACAGTTGTTAGTTGCCATGTGCATAATGGGATTCAAACCTGGGTCTTCTGCAAGAACAATTGGTGTTCTTAACCACTGAGACATCTCACCAGTCCCTCAATTCTTTAAAAAACATTGTTGAGGTTGGAGAGATGGGTCAGTGGTTAAGAGCACTGGCTGTTCTTGCAGAAGACTGAGGTTCCAATTCCAGCACCCATATGGCAGCTAACAACTGCCCATAAATCCAGTTCCAGGGGATCTGATGCCCTCTTCTGTCCTCTACAGGCACTGTACAACATGGGTGCACTTACATACATGCAGGCATAAAACTCATAGACATAAAAATAAATAAATAAATAAATAAATAAATAAATAAATAAATAAATAAATAAATAAATATTGTTATGGTTGGGCATGCCTTTAATCCCAGAACTTGGGAAGCAGAGGCAGGTGGATCTCTGTGAGATCAAGTCAGTCTGGGATGGTCTACATAGCAAGTTCCAGGCTAGCTGGGGCTACATAGTAAGACCGTATCTTTAAAAAGTAAAAACAGAAAAAGTTATCATTTAAACTACTAATGC